GTCTAGTACTCTAGTAGTAACTGTTGTCCTCCTAATACAGCAAAAGCCATGGAGACTGAGATAAAAGAGTTATAATTTCTGCTTTTCTACTAACTAGCTGTGTGACCTTGCACAAGTCACTCCCAAGGCCTCAATTTCCTTTTTGGTAAAATGAAGAAATTAGACCAGAACAAGGATTTCAATTCTCTTTATGCCCCAAAGTCCCTAGGTTCAGTTCTGAGCCCTATTTATTCAGTCCTCTTTTTTTTTGCTCAGGTGGCTATGTAATCAGTTAAGTAAACTTGCTGAAGAAAAAGATTTAGATAGTAACACTACAAATAGATTTTATAAACTTCTAAACGCAAATGAAATTGGAATTTGAAACCACTACATAAGAGCAAGCAATAGACAGGCTTCATCTACCAGACATGCCATGTTCAGAAGTGCATTTGGTGGCACAAATGCTTTGTAGCAACTAATTAAGTTTGAGCCCACTCTGCCCAAAGACAAGGGTGGGGACAGTATGCCTCCAGTTCAGGGAAATATAATTATATTTCTACATCAATGACACCAGGCGGGGTGGGACAGAGAGAGAGACACTAACTGTAAGTGGTAATTTATATTAGAGAGAACATACCAAAACAAGATTTGCACCAGTGGAATTAGAGAAAACACCATAACTCATTAGAGTAATACTTCGAATCCTGAGGAGATATGTAGCCTCTGGGGAATTAATTCGACAATGATAGCAGGAGTAAGGACAAGGATCCAAGAGTTTATATAAGCTACACCAGTCTTATTAACCAGTATACTACAAGAGTCTTAACCACGTTTTCTCCCATCTCTGTATCTCTCTGAATATTTAACATTGTACTTTGTACAGAGTATACATTTAATAAATGTTTGTTGGTTTTGGAGCACCTCCAAAGGACAATGACCAGAATGATAAGATCACTTTGGTGAAAGGAAATGGGTCTCTTTAGTCCAGGGAAGACATGACAACTCTCACTGAAGAACTTTGTATTTGAAGGACTATCTTATGGAGGAAGGATTTGATGTATTCTGCTTGGCCTCAGAGGATAAAAGTAAGAAGCTATAAAGAGGCATATTTAATTATGATGTGAGGGAAAATTTCCCTATTAATTAGAAATGTCCAAAAGTGGAATGAGTTTCCTCACAAGGGATCCTCTGCACCAGAATCCTTTCTTTATTTCAGCCTTTTATACTTCTCTGCTGATCCATCTAATAGATGCAAGAAATTTCAACATATGAATTTGCTATGTGACTTTTGTTCTACATGGCTTTAAATTCTCAAGCATGCAGTAATTTAGGAAATGACTGGTGAGGACAATAGTTAAGACAAAAATCCCCTTATAACACTAGTACAACCAAAACAAAACACCTAGGCCATGTTATAAGGGTAAAAAAAAGCTGGGAAGATGATGTAGCAAGGATAGTATATAATAGATGGACCACCAGGATGGATTCTATGAAACTACAAAAAACTAACTGGGACTGAAAATTCAATGAAATATGCAAATGGTCAAGCATATGCATAAAAGTTTATTTTTTTGTTCCACTGATCTACATTCTGCACTTACATTGTAATTAATAAATAAATGGTAGCTTCGAATATAAATGTTATAGTAAGGAAGATGAAGTAGAAATCATGATATATGCTGAAGAAATATCTTCGCCCAATGTATTTAGAATTTCTACAATGAGGTCATGAGTTCCTTTAACATCTCATATATATTAGATATGACCAAGAGTATACAGTTCTTGTCTACTTGGTAACTAAAAAGTATGCTGGAATTTTTTAAGTCTGTTGTTGGAAATTACTGAATAGATAGCTATATCCTTAATTAATCATTTATCCAGGTCACAAAACTTTAAAAATATCATTATTTTTCAGTGTTTATTATCAATTATTTGGAAACACAACCCACTTGACCCTTTCTCTCAGATCTTTTCTATCAAGTACCAATGCTTTGGCATTACAAATACCAAAAGCAAGTCCAAACCTCGTAACACTTTTACCATACTTTAAAAGCAGTCATCAATATTTTTGTCCTGTATAAAGGAAATCATATATTGATTTCAAAATTTTGTTACTTTAAAGACAATTTTTAAAGTTTGCTAGTTATTAATTAGTGATTAGATAAAGTTATCTGATATAAGGAAAGCATGAAAATGCAAGAGGCAGCTTCTTGAAGTCTGAAAAGACCTGGCTTCAAGTACTGACTCTGATAGACATTAGCTATATCTGACTGTAAGCAAGTAGTCAGTCAATAAACATTTATTAACTGCCTCCTCTGTTCCAGGCACAGTGCTAAGCTCTGGAGATAGAAAAAGAGACAAAAGACAATCCCTGCCCTAGAGAAGCTTACAATCTAATGGGGAAGACAACATGCAAATACATACAAACCAAGCAGTACACAGAATAAATAAGAAATCATTAAAAGAGGGAAAGCACTGGAATTAAAAAGGGATTAGGGAGGACTTCCCATAGAAGGTGAGATTATAGTTGGGACTTAAAGGAAGCCAGGGAGGTCAACAGTGAGAGAAGAGAGAAAGTACGGCAGGAATGGGGGACAGCCAGAAAAAATGCCTGGAGCCAAGAAACAATAAAAAGAACTATCACATAAATTCTTCACAGGGATGAAATCACAAATACAGATGGAAGAGAAGTCAACAGAATAAGCTCACTGAGGGCAGGGAATGAATGATTCAATGCCATCCCTGTATCACAGGATCTGGAACACAAGGAAATGTCAACAGAATTTTAAGTACATTAACTTTCTCCTATACAAGACTTACTACCTTTCCCACCTTTGAATCTTTGCATAATCTGTCTCATAAGTCTTGAATAGGCTCTTATCTCACCTCCAGCACTGCCCAACAGGACTGGACAATTGAGTTCCCAGTGGGGCAGCTACTACTACTCAAAAATTGTTATTTGTCCTTCATTCTAGAAGAGTGCCAATGACATCATGAGGATGATGCCTTGACTTGCACATCATTGGATTTAAGAGAGGCAAAATTTTGCAGTCATTTGTTTCACTCTCTCCTCCAGAGCCACGTGGGTCTAGTGGCAAGACACACATCAGGAAAACTGGAGACAGCCCCAAATGCAGTGGGAGACCTTGGCTTTTTTAAGCTAAGGCCTTTCCCAGTTTGTCTGAGGCAACACCCATTCAATGATTAAGGCTAAGTAATAAATGAGGCAAAAAAGAGCCTCTTCGACCTACTCAAAAAAAAATAATAATAATGAAGGAAAGATATGAATCACAATGAAGAAGGAAAAAAAAATCTTTGCCAACAAAAACCCATAGACAGGATGGTCCACAGGATGACAAAGAGTTGGACTGAACTAAATAACATAAACTCCTTGAAGGCAGAAGCTGTTTTATTTTTGTCTTTGTATCACCATCCTAGCATGGTACTTGGCATATTCCTTAAACACTTGATTCATGGATTGACTGAGACTATGATAAAAGGCCTGCATTATTACTTGAGTATTGTTAATCTAATACCCAAAAAGTTTTATAGTTTTGGTCTTAAAAAATCCTCCCTACTCTTAATTTCAATATAAATACATGTTAGGCACCAACCCCTAAAACATTACTTGATCAGTTTTATATGGAGTCCTTCCTTCCAACTGTTCAAAGTTCATATGGCCTATTTGTGCCAGACCTGTAGCAGAGCCTTCCTAGATCATACTGGTCTGATCAGTAGCAGTACCATGACCTGAACACAGTGACATCATTTTGGTCCTCATTGGGATGAAGGACAACTGACCATGAGGAACATAATTTATCATTAAAAAAATCAGTATTTGTGTATATGAAGAATTCTATCTCAAAGTGGAAAACACTACTTAAGAACCTAGGTAGATGAAGCCTCTTGCTGCTTCCTAGTAAAGTATTCAAATGGTTCAATGCCAAGGTGTGGTAAGACCACAGTAATTACAACTTAAATCAATGAATTTACATTTATTTTCCTTTCCTTGTCCTGCCTCTTCTGCCACGAAGTGAGCTGGCAAAAGGTTGGCACCACAAGTAGCAATGCAGATGCCACAGTGATCTCCTTTCCTTGCCAATAATGGGGAATAAATTGTGATTTAACAGATCATGCTTCAGAACCCACGACCTTTTCCACAACTGGTTGACCTTTTATCTTGAAGTGCACAATTAAATAGTGATCTTAATAGTTTGGAACACGTAACAGGATTCTACCAATACTGCTGCATCCCAAAACAAAATTCACTTTCCTTTGGCTGCTAGTTAAAAAAACCTTCCCACAGGACAGAGGAGCAGAACACGTGTAACACTGTACCTAAGAGCAGATTTGGGGGGGTAGGGTAGTCGGGAGAAAGAAAACAAGTTCGGGAGACGCTCTGGAAGTTAACCCCCAACTCCTCCAGGCCCCAGCAAGGAGGGGCAACAAAAGGCGGTCATCAATCCCATCCTTGGGTTGTGCACTCCCTAGACTTCCTCGGGCCCATCTCAGGCCGGCGGCGAACGAAAGTTAGCAGGCATCCTAAAATTGGGCCACCCCCCTCGGCAGAACTTTCTCCCAAGTTCAGAAACAGAGGCATGTGCAGGCCCCAATGCGCCCAGGGTGCAAAAGAGACGCGCTCCGGCCTTCGGGAGGCCCCGACCCCCCCCCAGCTGGGGGCCGAAGCGGAGGCCTCGAGGACCTCGTCTGCCAAAGAGGGGGCTCTGGATCCCCTCCCCGAACCCCTCCCCGAGGCGCTCCCGGGCGCCCACCCCGCCGGTCGGCCCCACCCGGGCCTCGCGCCCAGGGCCCCGCACCCGGGAGGGGAGGGGCGGGACGGGGGGGGTGCGGTGCGAGCCTCCGTGCCTCCCCTCCGGCCGTCCCCGCCCCCGGGTCACCGCCGGGCAGCTAAGATGCCCGAGGCTCCGGGGAAGGCAGTCGGGCCCGGCCTCAGCCCGGCCTCCCCTGGGCCGAGGCGGCCCAGCCGTGACGGAAGCGAGAAGGAAGATGTCGGCACTTACCGCTTCACGACGCCCGTTTTGATCTTGATCTGCCTCACGCGAGGATCAGCCATGGTCCCTCACTGAGCGCTGCTGGCGGAAGGAGAGCAAAAAGTCGGAGGGGAGGAGACCGAGCACGCTGAAACCAGTTATGTCCGCTAACCCGTGGGAGGCCTCCTGTGCGCATGCGTTGGTCCGGGCGCGGCCCGCGATCACTCCCTGCGCGGCCCCTCCTCCTTCCTTCCCGCCCCCTCCACCTCGCGTCTGACCAATGGGAGCCCGGGGACAGGTGGAGCAGTCAGTCAGGCCCCTCCCTTCCTCACTAGCCAGCCCTTTCTCTACTCAGGTGGAGTGGTCTGCGCTGGGTGGAGCAGCCCCAGCATCTGTGTTTCCACTTCTGGGGTGTCTTTGGCACTTTCCCTCTTCCCAGATGGGTTGAGTTGGCGGATGCTATTGTTCTGTCTATAAACCGAGTAACGTAGAAAACTTTTAAAATGATGATTTACATTTTCAGTGTCCGGGGACCAATGGCAATAGATGCATTTTCATATGCTTAATAAATTACTTGACTATTTGCTATTGTTAATACGTTTATTTGTAACATATACTATATTACTATTATATTATTATTACTATTAATATATGGTATATCCCAGACTATATTATATCTAGTATTCTATATTGTATAGTATATACTGTATATATAGTATACTATCACTAGCTAAATAAAATATAAATATATATTATGTAGTTATACATATAACTGCATATTTTAGCATTTTTAGCATTATTTATATGGCATATACTGTGTATAGTATATACTTATTTATAGTGTATACTTTATCATTTATATAGCATACATGTATGTATACATGTATGTATTATATTATATATATGTATTTATCCATCTGCTTATAAGGATGTCATTTATATTTATATATGTGTGATATATAGATGTATATCTATTGTATAATGCACATATACTATATATGTGTATAGTATGTATTTATATACTATATATGCATATGTGTATATATACTATATATACTTTTATATAGTATATATCATAAATAATAGTAAATAGTTTATTAACTATAAATAAGTATATAGTATATGCTACATATACTATATAACTATACTTAATTCAATAAATATTTATTAAGCACCTACTATGTACCAGGCATCGTGCTAAGTTCTGGGGATACAAAAGGAGTAAAAAGACAGTCCCTGCCCTCAGTGAACTTACAATCTAATGGGGGAACAACATGCAAACAAATATGTATATAAAGCAAGCTATGTGCAGGATAAATAGGAAATAATTAACAGAGAGAAGGCCATGGAATTAAGAGGGGTTGGGGAAGGCTTCTTGTAGAAGGGGGGATTTTAACTGAGACTTAAAGAAGTCAGAGAGGTCAATAAGCAGACTGGAGGAGGGAGAGCATTCTAGATGATTGGGGGTGGGGGGAGTGGAGCAGCCAGAGAGAATGCCTGCAAGTGAGATGTGGGATGTCTTCCTGGAACAGCCCGAAAGGCCCACGTCACTGGATCAAAGAGTACATACTGGGGAGTAAGGTAGGAGGAGGCTAGATTGTGAAGAGCTTTGAATGCCAAACAGATCATTTTCTATTTGCTCCTGGAGGCAAGGAGAAGCCACCGAGCTTATTGAGTAGATAACTATAAATATTACAGTTTATCAATTATAAATAAATATGTAGTAAATAGCTATAACAATATAGTACATCACTATAACAATTATTTACTAACATGGGTCCAGGATCTCATCCATGTGAGTGTTCCTTAAAGATATAGAACAGGAATTCTTAACCTTTAGGGATATTATGAAGCCCTTTAGCAGTCTGGTGAAGCTTATGGGATCCCGTCTGAGAAATGTTATTTTTTTTAAAATTAATAATAGTAGGAAATGCCAAATTTCAGTAAGAACAGAGGCTTTCAAACTTTATTGTCTCAGGATCCCTTTATACTCTTCAAAATTATTGAGGACCCCAAAGAACTTTTGTTTACATTGGTTAAATCTATCAATGTTTACTGTATTAGAAATTAAAACTATTATGAAAATAATTTTGATCTAATATACTTTCTAAAAGGTTTTTGAGGACCCTCAGGAATCTCTGTGCCACATTTTGAGAACCACTGAATTAGAGGTTAGAGAAAATAAAGATGTATTTTTTTTTTCATTCAAGTTCACCAACTCTTTTAAATCTAAGATTAATTACACTTAGTATGGATCATAACCTGCCTACACCTATCTTGTGCAACTCTTGTCCATGTTCTCCCATAAGTTCTCCCTGAAAGATCTACCACCCTCAAGAAGCAGTTCAGCTGGGCAGTCAACATTACCTGGATGTCAGTGTAGCACTTAGCATGTCTCTCTGCATGTCCATCTGTTATCCCTCTTGACACGTAACCTCTACCTCCTACTTGCTAACTGAATATATGAAGTCTTCTGTTCAATTTGTCCCCCAAATATTCCCCTCCCTATTCTTTGAAGACCAATTTAATTGTTACTTTCTCCATGAAGTCTTCCTTGAAAGAAAAAGCACCAACCTAGGTGTGACCTTGGGCAGGCCACATAAGCCCTATGGCCTTTGGTTTCCTCATCTGTAAAGTGAAGATCTTGGACTAGATCTCCTCTAAGATTCCCTATAACTCAAAATCTGTGAAGTAATAGCTAATATTTCTGTAGCCCTTTAGAGCTTACACAGGGAACACAAGTATCATCCAAGCTTGACAGACTAGGAAACTGATGACAAAAAAATGTCAGGTGACTTGTCTAAGATCACAAAAGTAGTAAGTCACTGATCGGGGATTCAAGTCCAAGTCTTATGATTTGCAATCATTCCTCTATTCAATATGGCCCCTCAGGGTAAAAGCCTTCCATTTCAGACCACACACAGCCCTTGTTTTAGCATTTCAGGGTTGCACTAATGTAATAATACTGTGTGTATCCTGGTAATCTGGATACTGTCCAGACATTTCTCCTCCATTTACTCTCTTCACTTTTCTCATCCTCTTTGTAATTTGTCTTCCAATTTCATCTCTCATCAAATGACCAATGATCTATTAACTGCCAGATCCAATGGCCTTTTTTTAGTCCTTAGCCATCTTGACTTCCTTGCGGCATTTAATTCTATCAACCCCTTCCCCCTTTTCTAGAATCACTCTTCTGGCTGGGTTTTTGTAACAGCCTTGTTGCACCTCAGTCGCTTTTGATGGCTTGTCATCCTTGTCCCACTTCCTATATGTGGATGTTGACTAGGGCTCTGTCCTGTGCCCTCTCCATTTTTTCTGTATTCTCTTAGGGAATTCATCCGTTCACATGGATTTAGCTGTCACCTCCATGAAGATAAATCCCAGATACAGCCCCAGTAAACTCAAGTCTTTCACCTCTAACTGCCTATTAGGTTTCTCCAACTGGATGTCCCCTAGGCATCTCAAATTCACCTCCCCTCTTTCTGACTTCCCTATTTCTATTGAAAGCACCACCATCCTAATCACCCAGGTTCTCAACGTCAGAGTCATCCTCAACTCTCCTCTCCCTTTCCTCCCATATCCAAATCATCTTCCAAGTCCTGCTGATTCTACCTCCACAACTTCTCTTGAATCAAATCCCATCTTACTGTTCACATGGCCTCGTTCAAGCCCTCATCAAGCCCTGGACAACTGAAATAACTTCTGAATTGGTCTCCCTGCCAATCCAATCTACTGCTAAAATAACTTTCCAAATAGGCAGTTCTAACCATATTATTCCCTGACTCAGTAAATTACAGTGGCTCCCTATTGCCTTTAGAAGCAAATAAAAACTCTGCTTGCTTTTAAAGTTCCTCACAACCTGGCCCCAGTCCAACTTCCCAACTTTGTTATACATTTGTTATACTTCATACTCTGCTGTGTAGACAGAATGACTTCCTCACCTATATACATGTTGTTTCCCCAATAGAATGCAAGCCCTTTGAAGGCAAAGACATATTTTTCTTCACATGCCCAGCACTCTAGTATAGTGCATGGCATATAATATTTGCTGGATACATGCTTATCAAATAAACTGAATGAATCTCCCTCCTAGAATGTAAGGTTCACATCAGTCATGACCAGTGTTTTACCTTCCGTCTATCCCCAAAGTCTAGTACAGTATTTTACATTCTTTTCACTTAACAAAAGTTAAATTGAATTGAGATATATAGATATATAGATATAGATATAGATATAGATATAGATATAGATATAGATATAGATATAGATATAGATATAGATATAGATATAGATATATATGAATTTATATGTATATATGAAAAGCATCTTGTGTCAAACTCTGTACTTGGTCTGGAAACTCAAAAACAAAAATAAAATTAAATAGGCATCCCCCCCTCTCCCAATGAACTTACATTCTACAGGAGGGCATTTTGTAGAAGCAGACTGAAGTCCTCTTGCTCCCCATTTTAGAAATTTTAAGAAATCACTTAAAAATCATACTGGTCTGAAGTCTTTATACTAATAAGAGAGAGAAACTTTAGCAACCTTTCTTTATCAATTCTAAAACAGAATCCTTCTCCCCTTTTTCCAGACCAGCCCAAGAAAAGGCTCCTGCCTGAAGTAATTGGGGAGGTGACCAGAAATGGCTAAGGGGCCCTTGTTTGATCCACCTTAACCAGATTAGGGTAATCGTCAGACTAAGGGAAAAAAAATCTTTGATTATGTCAGCTAGTGGAAATAATCTCTTCAGTTTACCTTTGACTTACTGGAAAAGAGAATTCTTGAAGAGAATGGTCAAAGAGGAACTGAATGGTTTTAGGAAAATAATTCTCCAGGGGTATGCTGAAAATTAAGTGTTGGTGTTGTAAAGTCTGTTGGTGAAGTAAAATGTTAATTGAATTTTAGCCTGAGCACTGTAACTGTTTTATCACATTGTAGAATTGTGTCTATTATCTAAGAATGCCATAACTGTAATTCTGAACCAGTTTGTGTTAGAGATTTTCAGCCTCTTGGAATAGCTCAGTTCATCTTTGGGTAAATTTGTAAGCATAAATGCTTAGAATAGAATAATCCTTAAATCAAAATAGAACTATGTATAGAATAGAATAAAAATCATTTTTGGCAGGCTTTGCCTAAAATGCAGCATACAGAATTTTTCCTGTAATACAAAATATAAAGCCTGGTCTGAGGACCAATTTTCAAATCCT